CTTCATCTTAAGGTAATACAACAGGGAGAGCTTTACATTTTTGCTTCCTTCCAAATCTAGCTCCCAGGGCTAAAATTCTAAAGTCTAGCACATGCACTGTTTAATTATCTAAGAACTACTGAATTCATTTGAGTAAAAACCAGTTTGATCGATGGGTCCAGCTGTGATCATTGTGTAGCACACATTTTCTGCTTGAAAATGTTGGCTGTGCAGCTGTCATCTGGAACTTTAGAATGCACTAGTATTAAAATGCCAAAGCTGTTTTACAGGCCTGTCTGTATCAATGGGAGAAATGGTATTCTTCAGGGCAACTTCAATATACAATTTGTTACATACTCTAGTGATGCTGTAATCAGTGTTAATGTTTTTGTTTATCTTAAATTCCTGGATTAGTCTAATTGAGCAGTTTAGAATGGGGTTATCTCAGGATAGTTTTGCCTGGTAAATGAATATTTGTTGAAATCTTACTTTTCTTCTGTCTACATAAATGCTGCTTATGATGGGAATAGGATTCCATTCCCACAATTGGAACGATTTATTAGGGAGACCATATGAGAAAGGGCCAGTCCACCATTTTTCTCACCAAGACTGTAACAGTGACAGACACAAATGCAGGGCAAGATGTAGGAAATGTGTCTCTCTTTGAGTTGGGAACATGTGGAGACAGTGAAGCAGCAACCTCCAGGTTTGTTCTTGAGTCATTTCTGATTGTACTTAGTGTTGGGAACCTGCAGCCATAAAGGGAGTTGGAGTTTTTGGAGAATACCTGCTCACTCTGCATATGGAATTCCAGGACATAAGGAGCTCTGCAAACAGAACTTCTTGCCAGAATTGACTCCTGTTCTCTGAGGACGTACTGGCTTCTGCGCACGTTCCCTACTAACCAGGAAAAATTGTTTTTAGCAGTAACTTATTAATCTGTATAAGCAAAAACATAATTGGGTGCTATTTTCTTGTTCCTTTGTTCATATCTTCAATAAAAGCTTGGGCTGGGAGAGTGAAAGGCAGAGCTGCTCTCAGTGGCTCTCCCCAGCCTTCCCCCATTGCAAATTCATTTAGACTCCGAGTCTTCATTAATGGCAGAGAACTTCATCGGCTGTCCTGTCTGCAGCAACTTAGGACACATTAATTGGGGTTATTCCCATCTTCCATGGAAACTAACTGCCAGGTGCCTTGTAATTTACAGAGCTAGAATGGAGATGTAGTTTCTATGACAACTTTATGGAGAAGAAGAATCTAGGGTTTGCAAATGGCCAAGTAATGGATGACAAAATTTTTATAGGACATCATTTCCAATCATGTTTACTTGAGCTCTTCCTCTGTCCTGTCCCAATGGCATGGTTATTTCCCAAGTTGGTAGAAATAAAACCAATCTAGATATGAGTTGGCTATTTTGATGTCCAACTCTAAAAAATACATCATTTATGTAATTTCAGGGCTAATTTTCCCATTGTCAAAATGGAGGAGAAAAAATATGAGGTGGCTGGAAATGTTTATTTTTGACATGAAGGGAAGGTGAAGACATTTCTTTCAAGTTCCTTGGCTCTGGAGTCTTAAACCTTAATGACGTGGTTCATTAGAGAAAAGGGTATTTTTTTCCACTGAGGATATTTCTACTCTAAATCTACTCAGATGTGTTCACCATAGCAACAACTTGTGACTTTGATCAGCACAGGTTCAGCAAATGCTTGCTGCTGTGTTTAGGACTTTTCAGAAAGAGAGGAATTAGTTGTAGACACACAGAAAACTTGGTGAGATATTTATTTTAATGATCATTTGACTTTTTTGGACATTAGTCTACGTAAAGTAGATAATCCTCTATAACTGTCACAGTTACTTTTTCTCATAAAATATCTTGACCTTTGTTGTTTTTTTTTTTTATCTGAACAGAATTTTGCAAGTGTGAGTTCCCTCTTTATTCAATTATGTCTATCTCTTGCATATCACTTTAGCCACTAATGATTTCATTAGTTCTTTTGATTCAGAGAAAAATTTTCTTGCTATTGCTATTTTTTCCAGGTCTAAAGTTGAAAGGTTGAAGCTTGTTCATATTACCTATTGGTTAGTAGGAATACGATCCCACTGCAGTGGAGCTGAGGCTGATCGCATGAGAAGTCTTAGTAAGTATATGAATAGTAAGTATTAAAATTAAAACTCTGAACAATTTAGAAGAAAACAAAGTGGAAACTCTTCATACCCTTGAATTTAGCCTTTTATATGATACCAAACGCATAGGCCACAAAAGGAAAACACAGATAAATTGGATTTCATTAAACCTGAAAGCTTTTCCTGCATCAGTGAATACTATCAACAGAGTAAAAAAGGAACTCACAGAATGGAAGAAAATATTCACAAATCATATAGGCGATGGAGAGCTAATACCCAGGAAATATAAATAACTCCTACAACTGAATAACAACAAAACAAACAATACAATTAAAAAATGGACAAAGGATTTGAATATGTTTTCAAAAAATGGTATACAAATGAACAATAAACATAAGATGCTAAGCAAAACGCATCACTAGGAAAATGCAATTTAAAGCCACAGCGATGTGCTACTTTATATCTATCAACATAGCTATTATAAAAAAAAAAAAGGAAAATAAATACTGGTGAGGAGATGGAAAGATGGGGACCTCAGCACATCCTGCTTAGGTTGAGAAGTTCCGAGGGCCCAGATGGATTAGAGTCTGTGAGTTTCCTTGCACTTGTCCATAAATGGAGTCTAGTTGTGGATTTGGCTACAGTTTTCAATTTTTTTTTAAAGATTTACTTATTCATTTATACTAGAACTGGGGTACAGATCAGAAGTGCGGGAGGGTGAGAGAATTCACCAGAGACAGATCGGGGAACAGAACAGGCAGACTGATGAAATACACTGCTGAGGGGAGCAGCAGGTGAGGCAGGAGAGGTCTGCCACACGATGTGGGAATCTCCCTGGTGGGGAATTGAACCGGCGCTGCAGAGGCTGTGGGCAGCTTCGCAGCATGATGCTCAACCACTGCGCCACCGGGGAGGCCCCTGGCTACAGTTTTCAGTAGAGTACACTGATTTTCTGATACCAAGAGAAGTCCCCTCAATTTGCACATTACTACTTTTTTTTTTTTGTGAGTTTTCCCTTAATGTTTAGAACTGTTAGAAATGTATTTCCTCTGCCATTTCCTTCCACACCATTGCTAATAATAATCAAGTGGATTATTTTGCTTTTGGTGGCTTGAGCCCCATCCACTTGCATTTGGAATTCTTGGGAAATTCCTTGTCATTCATTTTTTTTAGATGTAGTCTGTTTGTATCTATCTATCTATCTATCTATCTATCTATCTATCTATCTATCTATCTATCTATCTATCTATTGATCTATCATCTATCTTCTCTCATCCATTTATTTTTAGCTATCTCTCTTTTTGCTCTACTCTGTCTTTGTGGTTCTACCACAAAAATTTATGAAGCTACTATTAACTTCCCTTGCTCAGAGTGAGCACTCTGGCTGCTATGATATGTGGCTGCAAGTCTTCTTGGAAACTGGACTATCCATTGTAACGCTATTGCTATGGTTCAGGTGAGAGAGAGATGAAGGTAGCCTGGATACTTCACAAGTGTGATCAGAGGAAGCCACTTGTAAAGATCAACTTTTGGGTTGAAATCAGAAGACTGAGACAGCCACATGAAGAGTCGGCAAAAATAAACAAACCAACCAACAAACAAACCAACCAACAAACAAACCAACAAAAACACCTCCAAACAGTTACAGGCATACATGTAGGTGATGGTGGCTGGTGGGTAGCAGTAGAGATAATGGTCCAGGGAAAGACTAGAGAAGTAAATAAGAGCCAGATCGTGCTTGCCCTCTGAGGGGCTTAAAATGTACTCGGGAGCCATTTCAGATCATAGCCTATGGTCTAGACAGTTATAATAGGAGACAGAGTGAAAAAAAAGACCAAACAGAGGTAGAAGGAACTCACTGTTACATCAGAGAGAAAAGAACAATCTAATTTGACATGGGAATTGGCATAAATCTTTTAGAAAAACAGCATTTGTGCTTCAGAGTAAAGTATGATTTAATTTGATTTGGGCACTGGCATAAATCTTTTTAAAGAAAATACAGCATTTTTGCTTTGAAAAAAAATACAATATCAGTAAATGGAGAGAAAGGAGATGCGTGCTTACAAGAGCTTTTAGTTTGTGAATAACTAGTTCCAATGAAAAGTTTGCTATTGGACAGTGTATTAAATAACATGCAATAAATACACACTGTCTCACCCCAAATAAACATATATTTCACTCTCCCCCCAAAATAAAGCATGTAGTTAAGCAATGTTAAAATAGCCCACACCTAATTCTACCTCTACTCATGGATGATACATGACATATTAAGGAAAACTGTTGACAACAGACATATTTATACTTTACTTGGGGAATTTCTTTGTTGCAAACAGCTTAGAGGACATTGATTACGTTTTCAAAAAAGCAGTATTTGTCTGCTATTTGAACCTTATTACATAGTGATATCACAGCGAATTGGTGAGGATATTAACTGCATCTTACTGTCATATAATATAATAATTGCACTTAAAAACAGCACCACAACTAGTATGTGCTCAATGCTTTACATACATCATCTCACTTCCCCAGAATCTCTTACCATAGATAATATTATTACCTCCAATTAACAAATGAGTCCACTGAGGGTCAGTGAAGTTCAGGTTACAAAGACATTTATCTGTGAAATTACCTAAACTGGACCTGTGCAAAGTTCAGCTGGCATTAGAAGCAAAGTCTTTGCTTATTATATTCCACTAACTCTCAAAAACAAAACAACAACAACAAAAAAACCCACCTTTGATTTCTGTGGACTGCCAGTACTTTCAACCAAATGTTTCAAGACTTACCTGACTTATTTTCTTGGGGTAAATTTTATTTTCTGTGTATTTCATATACGGTTGAAATGTCTCCCAAGGGAATCAATACAGCATATTAACACAACCAGAATTGTGTTTTCAAAAGCTAATTTAATCTTTTTGTATGAGCTTTTCATTTCAGGGCACACTCTTCTTCATGCAAATAAGATTCAGTTCTGTTGTGTAGTTGTTGAAAAGCTAGTAACTTGCCACTTGAACAGAGACCTTTGTGTAATGTTGTTTCATTAACTTCCCACTAGTTGATCAACAACCTGCAACACAATATTCAAATTTGTTCTTTGTGAAATGTTCAGGCTAATAGGTTTCATATGTTGTTGTTCAATTTATCTGCCTATTAGAAGAAGTCATTAAGTAGAAGAAACCAGCTTTTAGAAATAATGAGTTTTTCATTAACCGATACAGGCATTTTCTTTAAGAAGGCATCATTAATCACATAGTTAAATCACTAATTAAAAATGTTTGACTTTGATTTGCTTTATTTTCATGAACTACATTAAATACCAGTCTGTCATGTGGATGGCAAGCAAAGATCAAAGACCTCTGAGCTCCCACTTGTCATTAAAAAATTAAAACAGCTCTACTTGGTACTTCTTTTGTCACATGTGCTTGTGTGTGTGTGTGTGTGTGTGTGAAAGAGAGATCAGGGATTGTACTCAGCCACATGTATGAGATATTTTCAACTAAGAGAGAAGCCACCTTTCAAAATATATAAGATATGTCAGCTATAGAAGCCAATTATAAAAAATATGCAAAACATAGGAAATGTAAATATTTAACTTGCAGTTGCTATAATTTTATTTTTGTTTCTGTTGGTGTCTTTCTGTTGGTTTAAATGAGAAAACGTTTATTTCTAAATATCCCATTAGACATGGATTGTGTTTTGAGAAGAGATAGTATGTTCTAGTTCTTGATTTTTAGTAAACTTTTAGATCATCTCTAGAAGATAAGAAACAGATGTTTTGGTGAAAAAAAAAACACTAGGAAAAAGCTGAGAAACTTCTGTTTGGTTTTCAATCTGTCACTATCTAGCTGTGAAATGCACATCACTGATACTCTTTGAGCCCATACTTTCTAAAATTGCAAAATGAACATGTTAAAGCTCATGATTTCATGATTCCTTGTAGATCTAATTTTCTATGTTAAGTTATTTCCGTTTTAGGTGAAGAAACATAATTTCCAATAATAGGGATGCACAATATCTGTTCTTTCCTAATATGTATTGCTGTTTTATAATGTTTCATATTATAGTTCAAGTTTCTGAACCACATGATTAGGTCCTACATTAAAAGAAGAAAATAATAAAAAGGCTAAATACCTTTTTATTATACTTCCCCCCCAAATAAATATGAAAGTATGGTACTGTGTCAAATGCTTTGCATAACTTAAATCTAAAGACAAAAGACCTCACTGTTTACCCAGGATAGCACTGCCTGCCAGGATTAATTAAACTTTGACATTTGCTAGCATGGCATATACTCGTTGAAGTCGAATCTTGTTCTTCCCCTTTTTACATACCAGGATTGAGAGCAATACAGAAATAGAGCGGAGAGGATAAATAGATCACCCTCCTAGCTCTAATTTATTGGAAAATGTTACCTATTTTTGGGTTAGTAGGTATTGTCGAGAGCTAAGCTGTCATTGGTGGGTGTGCTGTTAAGAGAAACCATGGCAACAAGTGAAGCCGGGAAGCAGGGAAGAATGGCTACATAGCAACACACTAATGTAATTTAACTATCTTTCCTTTGCCTGTTTTTTTTTTTTTTCCTGAAAATTTCAAATGCAGTGTAAGAAGCCCGAGTATTGAAGTCAAGACTGGTTCTCGTTGAGCCAATTGGGCAAGTTCTTAAATCTTAATGAATCCGGTTTTCATCACTGCTGAAATTGGGAGAGCAGTGTCTACTTCACAGAAATCTTTGAGGATTAAATGAAATGCCAACCTTCATTCAACAGGATTCTTTGAGTACCTGTATTTCCAGGCATGAAAGCAAAGTGAGGAGTAAAAATGGCAAGTTCCTATCATAATGGATCTTACCTTGTTGCAAGAGGTATGTGCAGGTGAAAAATAAATGTATAATATAGTTCCTTGAGGTGAAAATTACCAGCCACACAGCATTTATTCAACACTATTATTTCTCTTTCTTTCATGCAATATAACTGTTTATGTAAAGTTTATATCTATTGTACCACATATTTACAAAATGACTGTTTAGACTTTTCTTGTACAAATGGTATTTGAGGACTTACTTCTTAAACCCATTTATTCTTTGGGAAGCACTGAAGATAAGTGCTTTCACATTGTACTGACCCACTTCCTTGCCAACCATTGCTGTACAAGAGAGACATGCAGATGTTGGAAGGCCTAAAACCCACTTCCCTGACATCACCTTTTCCTTAGACAGTGCAGCAGTTCTTTAGATCATGACCCATGTTTTGGGAGCTCCTTGATTTTCTTTCAATATTGCACATTCTCTCCTTTTTCCTCTTAAAATCAATACTGCATATGACTTATGACTAGTGACGAATACAGTGTATTTGTGAGACTGAAGCTAATGTTATTTTGGTTCTGGAAGTTTATTCCTGTTATTAAATTAGCTTAGGAACACCTTAATAATTTTGCCTGCCAGCTAGACTCTTGTGTTCAAATTACTATTATAAGTCTTGAGTGTTTAGACATTGCACTTTAATTTTTAGGCTTTTTATTGTTATTTATTTGAGGGCTAACATTGATTTTTAACACTGTATATAATTCAGAGGTACAGGTTCATATCTCCTCAAATGTATGTTACTGTACAACACCCATCAATAAAATGTCTAAAACACTCCACCATAATCTATGGGGATCCCTAACCTCTTATTCACTCACCCCAACAGTCCACTCTGGTAGCTTAAATTCTACAATTAGATGTCTAGGGTTTGCTTGCTTTAGTTTTATCTACTCCTTTGTTTTGTTTCTCCATATTTCACATATGTGTGAAATCATCAGGTATTTGTCTTTCTCCTTCTGAGATATTTTGCTTATAATAATGCCCTGTGGTCCCATTCATGATGTCAGGATGGGCAGTAAACAATAAAATAAACTAAAGAAAACACCGGTAAAACCCTTCACAACATTGGCTGAAGGGTTGTTTTTGGGGACAGAACTCCAGTGACAAAGGGAACAAAGGTAAAAATAAGCACACAGAACTCAGCAAATGAAAGAGCTTGTGTACAGCAAAAGAAACTATCATTAAAACCATCCCTATCGGATGGGAGATAATATTTGCACAACTTACATCCAGCAAGAGGCTAATATTCAAGATCTACAAAGAACACATACAACTCAACACAAAGAAAATAAACCCAGGGCCTCCCTGGTGGCGCAGGGGGTCAAGACACAACCTATGAAGCTGTCCACAGTCATTGCAGCACGAGTTCAATCCCCAGCCGGCCAGGGAGCAACCCACATGGCGCAGCAGACCTCTCCTGACTCACCCCCTGTTCCCCTCAGCAGTGTATTTCAGTCAGTCTGCCTGTTCTGTCTCTGGTGAATCCTCTCACCACCCACACTTCTGGCCTGTACCCCAGCTCTTGTATGCATAAATAAATAAATCTTAAAAAAAAAACCCAATTTAAAAAAAAAAAGTGGACAAAGCAGACAGTAATTTCTTTAAAGGAGACATGCGGGTAGTCAACAGACACATGAAAAACTGCTCGTCATCACCTAGCATCAGGGACATGAAAATCCAACTCACAATGAGATGCCACCACACACCTGTGAGAATGGCCTGTGTCAAAAAGACCAGACACAATTGGTCAGATGCAAATGCTGGCCAGGAAGGAACCCTTGAACAACGTTGATGGAATATTTGTATTTTTTTCTTCTTTCCTGGGCTTGCAAATTTGACATTCTGGAACCAAACACAGAGTCAGCCTTTGAAAAAAGATGGGATTTATCATTCTAGTATCTCTAAATTTTGTTTTGTGATGACTTTTCATAGTTTTACATTTGAATATAATGTAGCATCCTTTGCCTATGGCTGTTTAAACAGTTATGTATTTCCTGCTTGCACCTTCTTCTTTTTCTCAATCTTGTCCACAAGAACATATGAAAATGCATATATGTGTCTCTCCTGTGCATGAATAACTTGGTATATGAAATAGCATTTCATTTTGGAATTATGACTTCCAGATTGAAGAAAAGACTTTATGTGGGAACATGATTTTGTTCACCTAAGGTATCACATTGTTGCATTTATATAATTTATATACTTTATATATATTCTATCTGAGGTAGATGCAACAGATTTTCCTTAAAAGCTAAATGACTTATTTACCAATATATAATCCACAATATATAATTAAGGTGTGGAATAAACAGCTGCCAAGTGTTATGAAAACAGCCTTCCTTAATGCATTCTACTCAATGGGTTTTGTCTTATCTGGGCACCAGAATCTTAACTGCAGTTGTTATTTGGCATCCTGGGCTCCAGATGTCTAGCCATAAATAACACCTCAACTGAGCATTTTTTTACCTTGATAGTTTGTGAACATTTCAAAAGATTTACTGAGCTCTGAAAAATCTTAGCTTTAGAAATAAAACTCATTCTAGTCAATAAATGTAAAGCTGTATGATTAATTGATGCACAATATATATGCAACCACATGACACACATTGGAGTTCTGATAAAAGCTTTCCATTTCTCTTCATTAGGGAACTAATTAAAAAAAATAAAAACTGTGAGCCAAAGTATTCAGAAGGTAAGTTTTGTCCTGGTTTCTTCTAGATTGCTCTTTGCCTATGTGATAAATTTTCCCTTGTGTTTGTTTGTTGGGAGGTCACATTGTTAGGTCAAAAGTTCTTAAATTTCACTGTCTTCTCGTGCATCTTATCCAATGACCTGGCTCACCAGGGTGTTTCCCCTGATCATGTTTGTATTGTATACCCCACAATACTAGAATACTATTATCTTCCATTTGTGAGGACCTGGAGTGGGTCTTTAGAATTTAAGGACCCCACATTCCATTTAGCTCAGTTTCATTGTTACTTAGCTAACATAACACTTTGTATAATTAGTGTATCTACCTTAGAGCAGGTAAATATTACTCTTTTTTTTTTTTAATACTTTTGTTGGTCTAAAGTGACTTCCCAATGGAGTCAGGCTTACAGTGTCACCCACTGAGCAGAGTTATTGATACAGTGGTACATTCACTGCAGTAGTATGAATATGACTTTTAATGACTACATTAAAAAAGTTTCCATGCACTAGAGAGCCATTAAGAAAATTACTATTTGGCTTTAATTTGCTTCCATTTAAAGAATATTTAGTATTACTTAGTAATTAGTATAATTCTATCTTTTGTTCTAGCCCAAGAGAAATGAATTAGAAGATCAACAAGTTAATACTCATTAGGTAGTGTAATAATTCTGTGCAATTGTTCACCTGAAAGTTGAAGGAAAATCATTTAATGATGATACACTTCTAGTTCTTAATTTAAACACACACACCACCTATGTCTAAATCCATTTGGACCTATATCTAATTCCTTGGGGATTCATTTAGGATAGAATTTTGTTAAAATTAATTTTATTTTAGTTTTATCAATAAATTTTAAAAATAACTTTTACTTTGAGATCATTGTAGATTCATATGCAATTGAAGAGAAAATAGAGATCCCATAAACTCTTTATCCAGTTCTCTCCATTGGTTACATTTTATAAAACCAACAGAACATTATCACAATTAGAAACTTGACATTGATACAGTCAAGATAGAGAACATATCCATTTCCAGAAGAATCCAGCCAAATGCTTTTTATTACCACATCTACTTACTCTCTAGCTCACCACTAGTGCCCTTCCACCATCTTTAATTACTGGAAACCACCAATCTGCTCTCCATTTCTATAATTTGTCCTTTCAGGAATAACATAAAAATGTAATCATACCAGACTTAAGGTTTGTTCACTCAAAGTCTGGTATGACTTAAGTCATACCAGATTTAAGGTTTGTTGATGTGTGAGAGTAGTTCTTTTTGTTGTGTAGTATTCCATGACACAGACGCACCATGGTGGTTTTTCACCAGTCATTCCTTGTGTGACATATAGGTTGTTTCCAGTTTGGGGCTATTATGAATAAAGTTGCTATGAACATTTGTGTGAAGGTTTTGTGAATCTCAAACTTTTGTCTGAGATAAATATGCAGGAATGCAATTGCATTCTGAATGGTGGTTGTGTGTAAGAGTCATCTCCATTTTTACAGATACAACAATAAAATGATGCTTCAATGGAAATTATACAGGAAAAGGATTTTGAAAATTGAATTTTCATGCCTTAAATCACATTTTCCACATAAAATCATAGTTCTGTATTTTGAATAATGGAGGATGAAGAAAAATATCTGAGTTACTAATAATTATTACTGAGCTATCAGTTATGTTCTTTAGCTCCTTAAATGGTATCTTGATCATGTACATATATATTTTTAAACTGACAACCTCAAACTAATTTCTATAGCATATGTACATTTCACAAGGACAATAAGTGGAGGTAAGTATGTGTAACTCTTTTATTCTCTTAGCCATTGTGAAAATTGGCAAGTATCTTGTCTCAGGTATTATATTTTCCTATTGTAAAAGGGTTTAGATAGTTAAGTTTTGATCTATTTGGATTAAAATAAATTTTCCCTTTCTTCTTTTCTGCATTGTTCACCATCAAAGGGCAAGAGACTATTTCAATACTAAGGCATTTGGGGCTGCACAGAAGAACAATGCATAGCGAGGTCTTGGCTGGTTAAATTATATGTAAATTCTGATTCCTTGACAAAACTTTTCTCTCCTGAACTCATAGATCTAATGTACTTCCTTATAGAAAACAAATTCTTGAAATAGACAAACTTCTCTTTTTCTAAAATTACAGGCTTTGTGGAAGAATTTATGTTCCTGTTCACTCACAGAAGTTATTTCTTTAACACTTTAAATTGAAGTAAACTTTTCTGTGTGTGGTTCTATTTTTCCTTAAATATAGTTGCACAAATTTATTCTAACCCTGTAGTCTGCTAAAGCATTATTTATAAAAGTAGTACATTTTAATGATCTAAGACACATTTGATTTATTCACTGCTCACTTTAAACTTTTTGAAAACTATTGCAAATTATAACATATAAAATCACTATAATTAACTATAAAATTCTCTAAAGAAAGGTATATGGAGAAAACCTCATAGCACTTCATTCATCAGGCCTCCACCGACCTTTTGGATATGAAAGAGGCATTCTTTATGTACAAAATTGGAACAAAAATTTCCTGATCCATGATAATGTCATTCTAGTATAATAACTATTTCCTGCTCAAGTGTTTGATGCAATAGAATTAACAGGCAGTAGAAATAAAATTATTATTTGCAAGACAATCTAAAATGTTATTTTGTGACAGTGAGTTTTGAATTTAGTAACTATTAATCACTAGAGAGGTGAAAATAGATAATTGGACCCTGTTCAATCAAATACTGTTAGGTGGCTCTTCTTAACAGGTTCCTAATGATATGTATATGGTGGAGACTCAAGGAAAAAATACTTTTTTCACTACCTAAGGGTATTGTCCCAAAACACTAGGATGATTCTCATATAGTAGTTTAATAGCTGATCTGTGTGGGGACATTAAGGGCATTTTATTTAAGGCCAGATGTGAAGCTGATCTCAGTCCCAAGATGCAGCAAGAAGCCACCTTAATGGCCACTTCTGGACTCTGGTCAACCAAACCATTTGCAGTGAAGTGAAGAAGAAAGTAAGTTAAACACACATGCACAAGAAGATTACAAAGAAAGAAACGACTGACCCCAAACAGTTGTATCTATAATTGCTTTAAAATCTCCTATAAACTCTCTTCCTCATGGTGGTCTATTGGGGTATATTGTAGACTCCCTATGTGCATCTTGAGAGTCCTCTGGATGAATTGGAGAGAGTAATGCTTAGAACTCCCACAAATAACAATACTTATAACCAAGGAAACTCCAGGTCATCTCATTCAACCTCTATTTCATAAATGATTGATGTTGGGGAATTATACTTTTCCATGTTCATGCTATTTTAATTTTAATTTTCCATGTTGCTGATTCTGATATTATTTTTCCAAATTTTCCTACATAGTCCCTAACTGAGCTTCTGGTTCTACATCAAAGTCATTGAGGTTGTGTTTTCCTAGTTCCTAAAGAAGCTGTGGAATTCCATGCAGCTCTACAAAAAGTAGGGAAAAGCTAGGGTGATCTATAAGGTTCTGTGTTAGTTAAAATTCTATTTTTTTGCCATCCAGACAAGTTGCTGAGTTTATCGGTTTCTGATTTTTGTCTCTTCAGTAGGTTACGGGCCCACTTCTTGGCCCTGGACAACACTCAAATTATCTCTTATTCCTTTTCATAAGTTCTTTGGAAAGTGGACTATTATCTTTTTTTAAAGATTTATTTATTTGTACAAGAATCGGGGTACAGGCCAGAGGTGTGGTGGGCGGGTGAGAGGACTCACCAGAGACAGTGGGGAACAGAACAGGCAGATTGACTGAAATACACTGCTGAGGGGAGCAGTGGGTGAGACAGGAGAGGTCTGCTGCGCCATGTGGCCGGGGATTGAACTGGTGCTGCAGTAGCTGCGGACAGCTTCATAGGCTGCGTCTTAAGCCCTCGCACCACCAGGGAGGACCCTGGACTATTACTTACTGAACATGCTTATCCTGGGATCTGTTTTTATATGGTTCTTTTCTCTCAGACTAACAGTAGAATAAAAAAACATTTTCTACAAACAAAAGTATTTTATTGCCAATTAATATGAAACAATATATAGCATAAAAAGAAAACAAAAATAACTGTGAACAAGTTACATAATCAAAATCACAGGGATTCTCTAGACCTCAAGTATGTGAGAATCACCTAGATTGCTTGTAAAAAGTTTAACTTTTGGCTCCTTCTCCAGAGTCTGAGGCCCAGAGATATGCATTTTAAATTAGAATTCCCTTACACTCCCAATGACCTCCAATGCCCAGCTGTTTCTTTTCAAGAAATCGTTTTGACAAAACTTTGAGAGATGTGGCTGTTTTATACAGTAGCTGAAAAGTGCTCTCCGACAGGGGTGATTCTTCAGGCCACGGAATGTGGCGCATCTGTAAACCTCAAGGTAGATTTGGATCCTCTTAACTACAAGAACTGATGGCATTCCAGTCCCTTCTTAATTACTCCTCTGGTTATTTACTCTGTTATCATCAAATCTTTATTTCTCCTAGTAGATTATTTGCCTTTTTAATTTACTTGCCTCATTTACTATATGAATTTGTTTATGAAGACCTTAAAGCAGATCTCTAAATAGCTCTCTGGCCCACAGCACTGTGATTCTAGGACCCTGTCTATTTAGTTAAGAAAAGAATGGCTTATAGTTGACAGTGATCAAACAGATTTGACTTCAGTAGCGGGTCAGATATTTCCAGTCCAATAACGAGATTAAAACCATACATGAATAATGATATTTCCTTAGGAGCAAAAATCGTTATTTTACTCTATGTTATCCATTATTATTGCTCTACCATTGATTACTTACTCCTAACTTCATTTGAATGATAAGATATATGCAGAGAACTATGCAGAGAATATACGCAGATAACAATATTAAAATTATATATTACTTATTTTTTAACTTTAAATCTATATGTACAGTATAGAGGATTGAATAAATAGTAGATTTATAGATTGGAAAACAAGGACAGGTGTGACAAACTACATTAAGTAAAACACATTATATACATTAGTATAATTAAAATTGGAGCCCAAACTATGAATATGTCTAGTCAGTAAAGACATTTTTAAGTGCCCTGAATGAGTGCTAGAGAAGGATTCAATGGTTTCTTGGAAAGTTTGGGCATTGTGTGGATGGCAGGGAGCAGATTATTTTGTTAATGTTGAATTGAAGGCATATTTGCATATAGGGAATGAAATCAGCAAACCAAATTTCCTGCAGTGTTTCAAATACCTTCTATTTCTAAAGATCACCTGGGGGCTGCTCTTGTCTGTATTATGAAAACTTTCAAAAGGTTAGAATGTTTCCATGCACAGATGAATTTTCCTGCTCTGTTTCTGTGTTCTTCAGTAAGTAATCATGACTGAATCATGATTTTCTAAGTTTGCTTTCTGCTTAGGATAATTTATGATGTATTATATTTTTGGTAGACCAATCTTATATGCTCTATGTTATTTAACTGTAGCAATTCAAAGGAAATAGATACTCTATTAAATACACATTAAATTGACTTGTTAGTCTACTGAAAGGATGGAAAGAGTCAGTTTACTTTTATGTACTGAGTAAGTAGTGCAATAAATTTTCATAATAGTGAATTTTCCAGGGAAAGGTTTTTTAACCTTTAGTGTTAATATAAAAATTTAAGAAGATATGGATTACCTTCCATTAACAGTGAAGCACAACAGGTGTGTAACTGAATTTCAAATGACAGAAAAGAACAAAAATATGGAAATGACAATCACAACCATGTATGTGTTTGATATCATAAAAATTAATGAAAATATATGTAAATAATAAAATAAATATTGAATTCTCAATCAAGGCTGATATTATAATAGCTCTTATAAGATACTTACTGTGAAATCTAGAAGATAATTTATAATATTCCTTCTAGACTTTGTTATAACTCTATATTAGCAGACAATGTTTATAACTGTATATACAATTTTCTTATATTACAAAAGACTGAATAAAGACACAAATAAAACAAATAGCAACTTGACCTGTGGTAGCATAATTCTTACCAAATGTGGAATTAGAAAAAGTTTTTTTAGATAATTTCTTAAAGAAAATATTTTTCTTAAAGAAAAAGGTGTGCAGAACCTTCCCCAGTTTGCCATAAAAAGAAGGATAATACAGATTAAGAAAATAGCATTTGAGAAAAATTATTCAAAACTGCTATATAAAACTAATAGTTGTTAGAAGTTTGAAATTTATATTCATTTTAGAAGTTGAAAGTTAAATTAAGTAATTTTTTTTTTTACTATTGATTTCACTTTCAGTACTCACAATTTTTTTATGAATTGCACCTATGCATTTAGTGACAATGATGACTCCTGTAGCATTAGCAATCAGGTGAAACAGTCCCCAAATTCACAAAAAGTACAACATATATACATGTGAACTTGTTATACTGATGCAAGAGTCATTCTGTTTTTATTCAAAATGGTGCATGAGGACAAAAATTATGAGAGAGATGACAAAAGTTAGTTAATATTCAATCCTTTCAGAGATGGGCCATCACTTGAAAGGTGTTTACAGGGAGAAATTGGTTTATATAACCAGGTGGAACCATTTATACCATAAATTATTCTGTTGATGTTCAGGGTAGAATAGGAATGTTTCCTATCTTCTTGACATAACTCAGAAGAGGTTCCTTGCTTCTATCCCATAGGAACAACTAACAACTATCTACTTGCTGACCTTAAACTATACTTCAAAGAGACAGTAATTAAAACTGCATAGTACTGGAACAAAAGTAGACACAAAGACCAATGGAAAAGAACTGAAAGCCCAGAAACAAAAATCACATACATATGGACAACTAATTTCTGATGAGTCAAGATCTTACAATGGAGCAAGAAAAGTCTCTTCAACAAATGGTTTTGGTAAAACTGTACCACCACATACAAAAGGATGAAATTAGACCATTAACACCATACACACAAAATAATTCAAAATGGATTAAAGACTTGGATATAGGACCTGAAATTATAAAATGCATATAAGAAAAGGGGTTACGGTCCCTGGCATCAGCCTTAGAGATGTATTTGGGGACTTGATTTCAAATGTCAGGGCAACAAGAGCAAAAAAATAAATGGGACTGCATTAAACTACTTTTACACAGAGAAAGAAACTTGCGCCAAAATGAAAAGACATCCTACTGAATGGAAGGAGATATTTGCACATTATACATCTGACAAAGGTTAATATTGAAAACATACAAAGAGTCATAAATTTCAACATTTAAAAGGAAAATTAACCCTATCCAAAAAGAAAGGGCAAAATATCTCTATAGAGACTTTCTCCAAAGAAGACATACAGATGGCCATTAGGTAAATGACAAAGTTGTCATTACCTTTTATAAAATTATTTTATTTTCTTCCATTGTGTGTCATCTTTCTATAGTTATTGGTTGCCTTAGGTGCTGCCCTCATTACTTCTTATTATTAGAGAAATGCACATCAAAATAACAATGAGATATCTTTTCACATCCGTGATAATGGCGATTATCCAAAAGACAAGCGGCAGCAAGTGCTAGTGAGGATTTGGAGAAGAAAGTCTTTATACACTGTTTTTAGGAATGTGAATTGGTGCAGTCATTATGGAAAGCAGTATGGAGTTTCCTCCAAAAGCAAAATAAATAAATAAGTAAATAAACCAGAAACTCCATACAATCCAGCCATCCTACTTTTGGATAATTACTGAAAACTACAAAACCCTAATTTGAAGAGCTACGTGTGCCCTCATGTTTATTGCAGCATTTTTTTACAATAGCCAAGAACTGGAAACAACCTAAATGGCCAGCAGCTGACAAATGCTTAAAGAAGATGTGGTCTATATACACAATGCAATGTTCTTCAGCTATAAAAAAGATGAAATCCTGCCATTGACAGCAACATGGATGAATGTAGAGAGTGTTATGCTTAGTAAAATAAACCAGATGGAGAAAAGCAAATACTGCATGGTTTCACTCATATGCAGCATACAGAGGAAAGCAATTGATGAACTAAATTAACTCTTTTAGGTCACCATTATAGAGATAAAAGGAATAATGTCTTTTCTGTCATAATTTCCACAGATTACCTCTATAATAAAAATCAAAGAAAATAAGGTTGCTTCTACCAAAAAAGAAAAAAAAAAGACAAAAATGTATTGACCGAGTCAATTTATCTCAAAGTCTAGGAATCCCAGTTTCATCTGGGGTGTTAAGCTGGGATTCAGTGTCCTCTTTTTGAAGATTATAAATATGAAATAGATAAAGCCTTCTTTATTTAAAAAAAATGAAAACCTTTCCTTTCCTTTTTTCCAGCTGGCAATCATTAATATGCATTTCTTAGAATAAATAGCACTCTGCCTTTTAAGCCCATCCCTCTATGTACATTTGGATTTTTCATCCCAGTTCAAAGATCTGAATAGAGGTACTATAGGCTGCTTTTATATTGTCATGCCCTCCCTCCTTCTCTTCTCTCACCCAATAAAAAGAAAATTGAGGAACAAAATAACTGGCATGAATCACTATAATATGGCTGTGATATATCTTTATTTTGTTCTTATGTTTTAAACATGAAATTCGGAATAAAAGGAACAGGACCTCTAGTGATGTGACGTGTCAGCACTTAGCACCAGCATTGCTTAACCATTTTGAATCTAGTCATACATCCTGTCTGTAGCCTGCTTCCCATTTATGACGGTGATTGCAGAAGAAGGCTGATTCCCTGTAATTTTATTCCCTATGTATTTACTACAGTGAGGATATATTGATAAAATATGGTCTCATGCAGCTTTAGTATCAAGTCGGACTTTGCCATTCCTCCCCACAGAATGTCATAGATATATATTTTAGCTGTCACTTGTAGAAAATGAAAAGACCATTTATTGAAAACCCAGTAGGTGTTGACTACTTCATCTATATTATTTCATTGATACTTGAACTTATTGAGGTAGGTAGTATCTCCATTTTACATATGATGAAATTGAACCCCAGAGAGAGAAAATAGAGGTCAAAAAGTCACCTACCAAGTCGCTAGTGAAGAAAGGATTCAAACCCACCTGATGGCTGGAGTGCACTGTTGAGCTGCATTTAAATACTCTACATTTTCCACATGGATTCCACACACAGAGGCTCTGGGAAAGCGACCAACTGCTCCCTCTGCCTAGACCTGAGGAATTTCCAAGCTTAACTGGGAGAGTCCTGGGCAACCAGGCATTAGTCTCTTTTGAGGTGGAATTTGAAGGTATCCCCTGGCTTCTAAACTCACAAAACATTAGCTTAAGATTTCTCCTGGCAACCCTGGTGCTGCCTTGAACGAACGCTGTCTGCCACACCACCTTCAGGCTTTGTTCAACTGAGAGCCACCTGGTACATGATTCTCTCAGAATAGGAAAAAAAGACATTTTCCTTATTATATAGGAAGCCGTTAATATAAATGTTTCTTCTCTCTCTCCATCTTCCTCTCTCTCCCTCTTCTCTTCATATAGGTAAAGGCGCTAGGTCTTTGCTTTTATCTGTAAGAATATATATATATGTGTGTGTATACACACACACATACATGTAGTATTTCAAATATAAATGAAGTCCTTTTATACAAACAATATTTCTGGTTGACCACAATTAATTTTGTATTTTTTTAAAAATCTTTTGTCATTTTTAAAAACGATTTATTTATTTATTTGTTTGTTTGTTTATTTATTTATTTATTTATACAAGCACTGGGTACAGTCAGAAGCGCGGGAGGGTGAGAGAATTCACCAGAGCCAGAGCAGGAAGCAGAACAGGCAGACGGATGAAGTCCACTGCTGAGGGGAGCAGCAGGTGTGGCAGGAGAGGTCTGCGTACCGTACCATGTGGGACCCTCACTGGCAGCTGGGGATCGAACTGGTGCTGCAGAGGCTGTGGGCAGCTTCTTAGCCTAGCCAACCGCTGCGCCACCGGGGAGGCCCAACCACTATTAATTTTGAAACTATTTTAGAATACCATAACAATAACTAATAATGTGACCTCATCCACAAGTTCTAGCCAGGAAAACATGTTTCAGTTTTTGATTTAGACATATATGGTCTTAAAGCAGTGACTATAACCGACTTATAGAAATTTAAAAAAAAAGCCATAATGATATTTCCGATAGCTAAGACCTTCCTTCTTGTTTTATATGCCACAAACGTATTACTTGAGTTACGGCTCCATTTCTTACAAAAGGTAATATTTACTGATCAAAAAAACCTAAACCAACACACTATTCTTTATGCTGCTCAAAATGTGAGAAATCTTAATAGAATCCTGCAATTTCATAGTGGCTATTTTCTAATTCTCTTTCATTAACTGGGAATTCCCAAATGACAATAAGAAAAAATTATATAACAAAGAATAATAATGACTTGGACCTTGGTCAAATTACTCTTTATAATGGAAATTCTGTATGAGAAAACCTGCTCTGCAGCTTTCTGCCTTTCTGATTTGCAGTGGTGCTACACACTGTGATGAGCTTTTGATGTGATTTTCAATGGCAGAGTGCAGCTATGTGGGATTTGCATTTATTTGGTTAACATTTAATTGAAATTAGATCATTTTTTGCTATATCCAACCTATCAGGTTGTCATTTATACTGAATAATGATGAGAGACCTATTATGTTTTTTATTAAATGAAAGCAAAGGCTTTTTACTCTAGGTGTTTGTTGCAACAATAAAAGTACAAATACTCAAGCTATAAAACAAAAAGCCATCAAGTCATTCAATGGCTCATATGTATAGACCACCCTAATTAGTGATGGAAAGACAGGCTCTCCTCTTCACCACCACCAAAATATTTCCTTATTCTCCCAAAATATTTCCTTATTTTGCTCATAGTATGGAATAAACTTGTGTCAGATTTTTTTTTTTTAATAATTTAAAGGTAGTTGAGGGAAACAAGTTGATAGCTGGATAGCTGGAGCAAATGCAAAGTAAGTGAGAACACCTGCATTTCCTTGCAGTGACTTTGGAGTCTTGCATACAACAGAAAGCAGGCAGAGCGTCAGGGACAGTGATGTGGGCAGTTGTCAACAGCTTCCTCAAGCAAAATGTCAATCAAGTATGCTATCTAAGATCTCCTAATGGAAAGATCAGTTTTCACTTTTAATTAAAAGGCAAAAACCAACCCTCTCAAGGTGGAACTTTTTTAAGAGAAACTTGCTGTTAGAATAATGGATCTTAATTGTCTTGCTCTCAGCACCTATTCTAATGGGGAATATGTTAAGCTAAGTCTTGGCAGTGAGACAGGTACATATACACATTAAAATATCTAATATCTGGGCCTCCCCTGGTGGCGCAGCAGTTGAGCGCTGGGCTGCGAAGCTGCCCGCAGCCTCTGCAGTGCCGGTTTGATCCCTGGCCTCCAGGGAGGAGCCCACATGGCGCAGACCTCTTCTGCTGCCCACTGCTCCCCTCAGCAGCGTGTTTTGTCAGTCTGCCTGTTCTGTTCCCCACTCTGACTCTGGTGAATTCTCTCACCCTCCCACGCTGCTGACTGTACCCAGTGCTTGTATAAACAAATAAAATAAATCTTTTTAAAAAATCTAATATATAATATATAACTTACATATCTAATAATATCTTATGTATTATTACATAAGACATATATCTAATAATGTAGTAATACTGTATATTATTATATCTAATAATATATAAAATAATAATTATATATCTAATATCTAAACATATAAGATGATTATACTTATATTTTATATAAAGATATATAATATATATTTTTTCTTAATTAAAAATCTAAGAACAAAGTGATTTTGTTTAATGTAGTACTATCTGTGCATAATTTCAAGACTGACTGTAATAGGGATGCATCTTAAGGTGTTATAGGGACCTAGAAAAACACATCTGATTCATGATCAGGTTACTCCAGGTCATTGCTTATAGTCTTCATGGTAAGTACGTGTGCTGCTAAGTTCTAAAAAGAACACTGAATAATGAAATAGTTATTCAGCTAAGGCCAGAGAGTTTTTTCTTACTTCTTGGCCTAGAAAGACTTTTATCGTTATCACTTGAGTCAGTTTGAAGGAAGAAAGGAAGGAATATCCATGACTGTAATTTCAAATCATACTGCAAACTATGTGTGAAATCTCTTGCTGGTTCCTGCCTTGTCGGGACAGCCTGTTTTCTCACATCATCTGCATACTTGCTGATAATTTTCTGATTACGAGCACTGTCTGACCTATTGCATATTTTTGTTGTGTAGTAAACAGCCTGTGTAATGGCAGCAGAGTCATTCTGCCTCCTGGTGACTGAGGTAAGGCTGTCCTGATCTCAGCCCCACGGCGCTGGGCAGGTCAAGGTCCTGCCCACACTTCCCATGACTTACTTCCATTTGCTGTTTGTCTCTACTTATGACACACTGTGGGCTGCTCAACCCACTCAAGATCATGCTGAAATATTAAGCAGTAGTTTTCTCTATCTCCCAAACACCAGATCACAAAAGCACCCTGAAGATTAGGCGTCAGCACAGACTGCAAGAGTATTTCAAATAGCTTGCTGGTATTTCAAGTAGCTTCCACACCGCTACTTTAAATGATGCAGTTGCTCCTGGAGTCCCCCTAAGAGAAGATCTCTGCTCACCTGTCTATACAGCTGCCTCTTTTTCTTTTGCCTTTTCTTAATAAATCTGTCCTTTGTAAAAATAAATGTAAAAATAAATAAATAAAATAAAATTTGAAAAGAGGCCCCTCTGGGAAATATAGACCATTCTCCCACTCATCACTAAAGAGGCCCTGGAATTTTGGTTAATGAACTTTTCTCCATGGTGAATTTAATACGCTTATCAAGGAGACTGAACAATTGCACATTACACTGCAAGGTGTTGCTATTACACTGTATAGCTGGTGGTCACCATGGACCTGGATAAATAAAGTCCTGAAGAAGCAGCTAATTCTTTTTATATGTTAATTAGATGAAGGGTGAAGCTATGGGAAGAAATGGCAGTGGTTACATTTCAGAGGTTCCTGGAAAGACTTCATGGAGTGTAAAGAAGGCGTCAGGCAAAGCTGCAAAACTCCCTGAAGGTGGCAGTAAGCTAAAAACCCTGCCTGTGACACCAGGCAACTCCAAACAGAACCGAATGGCAGGGCGTGGCGCCGGGCGCAGGGCAGAGCCAGCCCTCGCACTGGCTACATAGACTTTTGTTTACAGCTAATACTGTTA